CCCCACACACCCGCGTATATACCCACACACACACACACACCCACCCACACCCACACCCACATTCTCGCTAGAATGCATTCTAGAACATATATGTTGTTTATATTGTTGTATATAGCCCCTTCACAATTAAGTTAAGGAGAGACTCAAAATTAACTTAGTAAACACAAATTGCATACTCATTGTACTCTTCTAACTATTAATTTGCTCCGCTTGAATATATGCGACAAATAGAAAAGAAATATGAATGAATTTATGGTGAACTACAATGCTAAACAATCATTCGATATTATTTTCGAGAGCATGACAAGATATCAAAGTGAGGTGATAAAATAGATTAAGTATACTACGATAAATTTTGACTTTAGAGAGTATTTTGATACATGTTCGTTAATAGAAATAGCTTTCGACCTTAGTAAAAAGTGCCTGATTTACAAAAAAAAAGCACTTATATGGTCATTTTTTTGAAACAAAGGTGAAAAAACTCAAAAAAAACCTAGACCGGACGGTAAAGAAATTTTTTTTTTACCGGCCGGTAAGAAATCCTCTACCGGACCAGCCGGTCTGCCGGTCCGGTTCCAACTCTGCATCCACCTACACGCACACCCCACACCCACACTCTCCTTGCTATTAGAAAAAAACGCGGCCGAGATTATTACTAAATTATTTAGTTTAAGCGAAATGGAAAACAATTGAAATAGAAGGAAGGTTACTTTGGGAGAAAAAAAGTAGAGTTTCAGAGAGGTTGTCGACAGCTTTGAACCTGAAATTCAACTGATTTCAAACTTTTGAATTCGATGATTATAATAATCGGCTACAAAGAGATTGCCGTGCCGATCGAAAGATAGACCTATTGGTTCATTTAGTTGATGTGATCCGGAACCAGCGCCGTTTCCACCAGCTAGGATTTGTCCTTCTGTTGCTCCTTTTGACCAGCGCATTATTCGATGATTATACCTCTCTGCAACATACACAGTTCCGAATTGGTCTACGACAACTCCTTCAGGCACATTCAATTGAGAAAGAGAACTTCCTTGGCCACGTCCACCAGCTACCACAATTCCTTCCTTTGCTCCTTTCATCCATTTCATCACGCGATGATTGCGCTGGTCCGACACATAAACTGATTGATTTCGGTCGAGAAAAATTTTTCTTGGATTGTTTAACTGATCAAGCCGATCCCCTGCTCCGTTTCCTCCTGCCACTACTATTCCCTGACTTTCTCCTAGCCGCCATCTTTTTACCTGATGTCTAATGTTATCAATGACATAGAGAAATCCATGTTCGTCCATCATCAATGCGAGACTATCGGATCCATCGCTTACAATTGTTTCGCCACTTTTTGCATCCCGGAGAGACCATCGAACAACACGACTGTTTCCATAGTCGCCAATCAAGAGAGAGCCCGTGGCTCTGTCGAAAACTACATCTAACGGACTATTCAGCTGATCAGGTCTAGATCCTACTCCATTTCTCCCAGCCACGATTCTACCACAAGTTACATCTGGTTTCCATTCAACAATGCGGTGATTTCCGTTGTCTGCAATATAAATGGTGTCATCATCATCGAGAAACAATCCGTGTGGGCCAGACAGTTGATTGGGTGAAGCGCCTGCTCCATTCCCACCTGCCACAGTGATACCATTATTTTTCCAAGAAGAGTTTAAATTAATATCAGCCGAACAGAGAGGAGCTAAAATAATGCAATGATATTTTTTTTAAGATTCAGAGATACATAGAAAATTTGATCGAATTATTATTGACAGAAACTCTCACAGACTAAATTTATATAAAACGAATACTTAGGCAAAGACACGAAAAAGAAGAATATAATTTAAGAAAACTTACTCTACATATTTGCATTTTACTCAATTAGAACTATTATTCTTTTCCACGAATTACGGAAAAGTGAGTTTTATCTCCAAAAGCTCGATTTCAAAGAGATAAAAGTAAAGTTAGCGAAATTTTCAAAAAACCTCTAGTTACAAATGAAATATCATCGAAGAGTCCTAAGAAACAATAATAACATTAAATTGTAATAGCTTTAAGAGCTTTCTTTAAACAAGCACAAACCCTCATTATGTTGCAGAACAAATCTGTTCACTTATCGGTTTCCTGAAAAATGATTTTTACATGACTACGTGGGAGTAATCGATACAGATAAACACTCACGCTTCATATGCCCTTGGAAACGCTTGAAGTGGCGAAATGTAAAAAAATTTCTAAGCGTTCAATTCAGTCGAAAAACGAGAATTTCACGTTTCTTTCAATTATTGACTTTTGAGTTTATCTCATGTTTGAATGGCTTTGGATACAATACATTGAATAATTTTCAGAATCTCTCGATTGCTATACGGCTATGTTGCATGGATTAAGATAAAGCTGCCAAAATTTATAAAGCCCCGCAATTTTTTACCGCCGTCGAGCGTTGTGTTGGTTCAAGAAAAGTTCATAAGAAAGTTTTGGTGATAAATGAGCTTTCAATTAGTCGAACGCATATATATCAAGAACACGAACGATTGTGAAGTACTAACTCTCTTTCAGGCTAAGTTTTGGAGGGTTTCACATGTTTATTACAGATCTCTACTATGACCACGGATGTAGTATCAAATCTATGGAATCACTACTTCGACTTGCATAGATTTTGAACATGGTGTAAGATATTACGTGGCATTTCTTTCGCACATGGACTACAACAACAGTAATTCATAAAGTATCCCTAGAAAATATTTTCTTAAACTAAGTTGTTATTTCAGATCGCTTTCATTGATGTATGGACTTCTGTTACGCATGAATCAGTATTTTTTGTATGAGAGTAATAATTCAAGATAATCCGTTACATTTGATGATATTACAGCACGGGGGACCAACAAAAAGACATCATGCAGTTATACTCTAAGACAAGCAATGCATCATGGTTAGAGACATATTGTGCAATCACAAGAAGAAGCAGATTGTCACTTGTCAAACTTGCTGTTAGACTAAAGAAAGAATCAAGTGTACACTGTATCTAGGCTGGAACCCAGGTTCATTTTCGCAGAACCAAATCTAGAATAGCTGGTTGGTCACAGAATTGTCGCCAGGGAGGGTACTGGATCCTAGTTATTCGATACTGGTTAACCTTAAATGACATGGACAGCAAAGTCAAATGCGCATCAATCTGCGTCTACGACTGAAGCAGCATCTGCTCACAAACTTCTAGTATGCGAAACAGTTGAAAGCACATGTCGGTTCATTCAATAAGCTTTTTAGTACCTGAATAGCATGGAGATAAGCGTGCATCGACTTGATGAACTCCTTCAGCTTGGACCATGTCCCCAATTCTCTGTCGATACTGAATGACTGTACGTAAATTTTGTTTCACTGCCTCATCGGTGACAAAGTCATACCAAGGAACCATCTCAAGAATCTGCAAGAGAGCAGGTGCAACTGCCAAAGTTCTCTTCCATTCATGATCGTTATCAACTTCAACATTTCCACCAAGACGCCGTTTCGAAACGACACGTGTCTGATCAGCATAATAGACACAAGCAGGACTCTTTGGACTTTGATCCCAAAAGGGCATGCATCGAACAAGCAAACTGTCATGGCTGCTACGGAGACATCGTACTGTTTTGGCTCGTTCCTCGACCATGCCACCTACCAGTGATCTAGTGATAATATGCGTTCCCCAACTGTTAACGAAATCGTCATAGAGGTCTGGATCTATTGTAGCTGTTAATTTAGACAGTGCACGTCGCGCAAATGAATTAAGCTGAATAGCCGAAGCATTTAATGTGAGCGTGTACAAACCAATCACGCGTTGTGAAAGTACCAGAGCATCACCACGGTTAAAGTAACTAAATAAACAAATGCGGTTAGTGCAACACATTATTAAGTGTATTTTATGTTCATCAGAATGTCATACGTACTTGAATACATAGCAATTAAACTCAGCAATGACATATCAAGTCTTTGTTTTTCTCCCATCTGAATTTAAATTTAGACGAGTTAAGATGCCGAAAATTGACGGAATTTTGTGATAGGAAAATTGATGTTTTCATGTAAAAAAAGAAAAATGCTGGTCATACGATTGACAAGATTCACTTTTGATGCTGCTCTCAACTAACGACAGTTATTCCATGGTCTCTATAAAGTGAAGTGCTTCAGCGACACTTTCTAAAAATGCCTTTCTACGAGACGCAACAACTAATGAGTATTAAACTGGATAGTAACGAGGAAGCTCTTCTTTATGTTACCCAATTAATTCTAAGACTTTTTAATGTGAAAAGAGGATATTTTAAAATATAAAAGGTACTTATTCTAATATTTATCTAAATGTTGATATTAGGAAACATGCATGAAACACGAGTATTACAAGAGTGGTAAACTTTCTGACACATGCTCTTTACATGTCAACAAGGAGAACATGTAAACAAGTTGGTTTCAATCATGCTGAGCCATTGAAATCTTATGTCTCGATGTACTCGAATTTCTTGATAATAAACGCATAATAAACGCAGAAGAATGATCAAAACCTTTTCTTGCACGTACAAAGTATGTTTTCTCGAATTAGAAGCCCTGCGAATACACATTTCGAAGTATTACTGTTTTAATGCATATCAAAAATTGTGATAAGAATACAAAGAACGGTGTTTAAACTATCAAGGTGATTAGAACGTGTTTAATATTTTCTTTCCAAAGAAAATTCATTGAGAAACTTTCTGAAGACATCCTGGAAAAAAGTTACTCATTTTTACATGAGTGCACCATTTTCTTTACAAGTAAGAAATTTCAGCTGTGGAACTTTACACGTTTATGGTTAGGGCTAGTATAATAGCTAGCATTTATGCCTTGAGTGATTGCCGTATAAGACTCAATTGAAGCCCTATAATCCACTTTTATGGCTATAGATTTTTTTAAATTTGTAGAGCAATGGCAGTAAGTGAGCCGATGTATGGAGTAAATACCTAATTCCGTCCATCGATTCACTACATTCATCCTACTGACCGAGAAGCAATCCTTCTCCGCACTGGACTTGCTTTGTACTGTAACTAATTGAAATGCCGGTGAAGTTCAGTAACAAAGCACACTTACTTATTCATATATTCGAGTAAGTCGGGTGGACACGCTAATTCTCCACCACGAACTTTACCATCAGCAAATGTCTGTTGCCATGCTGCATTTAATTGCGAAGCATTCTGAAAAATATGAACACGAGAAGTATCGTAAGACGCTGCCACCCTAGTAGCTGATCCGAGTATTGCTTCATTGAAAATGTCAAATATTTCACCGGTAAAACCATCAGTCCAAGTACGACTGCCCTCTGGTGGATAAGTTAACTGGACAGCTAGAGCCATTAGTCGACCAGTGTTTCGATCGACACTGATACCAACACCACGTGGTAACTTCAAAGAGCCTATATCATATTGTCTACCATAGCGTTTGACAGGCTCACCATCAAAACATGTCATCCCTTCAGTACCAACAAACGGACAAAGAGCAGCTCGAGCGTCTTCAGTGAATTCAAACTGTGACGTTGCGGATGAGTATAAATCCGTATAATGTACATAGAATGATAAGACACCGAAGACGGCAAAAAATTGTTGGAGCATCCTATAACAAAGCATTAATAATTATTTGATGTAAATTAAGCAGTGAGGCAAGTTTAATTAAAGATTAGTAATCGCATTGCATATTAATCGAAAAAGTTCACATGTCAGTAAAATAGTAGTCGAAGAAATAGTTCTACTTTATTTCATAACTTTGCTTGATAAATAGATATATGCAGAACGAAAAAAGGAAGTGCAGTATAAGTAGCAGGTAATAATCAATAGGAAGGAAAGAATTAACGCGTCTAAAATAAAGGCTGTGAAAATTTTCGTACAGATTCTCCGTTTTTTGGCTGCTGTGTTAGATTTATACAGTGCCCAAACAAATCGGACATTCTCGAGATGAAACAGCGGATATAAGAACCACGCAATAATGTTTAGTGAGCATGCAGCAACTCACATAAAACGCCGAGAACTGAACTTGTGTAAACAATGGAAATTCTAGTAAACATTGAATGTACTAAACGGGACACTTTTTCGCATACAGTATAGGATATTTCATTTGAATTATGTGCTTACCATTGTTCACCGAGGTGAAACAGATAATCTTCACCACAAGTACAGACATTTTTCTTATTCAAATTGTCTCAAACACGGAGTCGCGTTCGCTAGTTTCGAACTACCTTATATGGAAAATGATCTTCCTACGGATGGACATTGCTTTAGATACTATGCTTTCAAGAGATGAGCTTAGTATTAGAATGCGTCAAATATTTGCCATAAACACAAAAGAGAAGAACTGGCATGGATGTATACTGTAAACAAAAAGAATGTGTCCTTTCATAACTTAAATCTCCCAATTCCGTCTGAGGATAGCTGAACTCGTAAATAAAATTTTTATAGCACTTCAAGTGTAATAGTACATAAAACAAAAGATAATAGGTCAGAGTTTATCAGGTTTTGTGAAAAATGTCTTTTCCTGGCCGGAAAGCTTACAACTGCAATTCTATGCATATTTATACTATGCGTCAGTCGTCATCATCCTAGCAAGGGAACTGGGAACTATCGTCTGTCCGAAAATATAATGTGCGCGGCCATTTTTGCAATAACTCAAGAACACAAAGAGCTAGAGAGCTGCGGTAGTTACCATTCCGTAGGCAAATGAGTACTCTATAAAACCATCAATAAATACTGGAAATCCTTGAGTTTTCAGTATTTCCCCACCACGAACCTTTCCAACAGTCTATTGCGGTTTTTTAAAGTTCCATAGAGACACATATATCTAAAGTATGCAAAACATAGCCCGGAGGTCCCTCTACAAAATCATGCAAGGCTGAGTTCTCTAGCTATTATGGTTCGAAATTAGTGCCTATTTTCCTGAGGTCCATGCAAGTCGTTTTTCTCAATGCGACAACTTACGAGTTCATACAACAAAACACCTTGTTGATCACGGTATTCTTTACGAGAACTACTATTCTGAATCTCAAACAACTTTTGCAATTGAAAATGAGGAGGTAGATTATGCAGAAGGACCGTAGATTCCAAATATGTGATTGAAATGCAGAAAAATAAAAAAAGT